CATTTGCGAGTTTTATTGATTTAATTTGGTTTTAAAAATGAATCGGTCTCATTTTCGTTTGTTTTATTTTTTTTAACGGTCAAGTTAAAAATGAGAATTTCCGATTTAATTTAATTCAGAAATGATTTATAATCTCAAGGGAAGTAGAGAAAAATAGAGGATGAGAGAAAATTGAAATTTGAATTTAAATTTTTGGGACGATACGATCTAAAGAGGAGGTAGGGTAGCGTAATCCACCTTTTATTTTACACAAGGAAAAATAAATTGCAAATTGGAAGATTAGTTGGAGTCGGAAGAAATGAAATGGAGTCGGAAGAAATGAAAGTCGGAAGAAATGAAAATTTAGATAATGATTGAGAGATTAGTGGACTTACATTTAGATCCCTTAAGCTTTGAATCGATTTAAATCCAATTCCTTTAACTAGGATTGAAGCACAACTCACAATTCCTTTGCCAAAATTATGAATTTACCCCTGGGTTTTAGGATCCTGATAGCGAGCTAAGCGGGATCTATAGACATTTGAGGGTTAGTGGAAAGGCACTTAATTGAGATTAGACACCTTAAGACACTTCAAGTTTAACCTAAAGTGCAGACATCCTAGATCTTAGGAGCATAGCTTAAGAGATAGTTTACCATCCTAATTTTCAAATGACCCTAAGAAATCCAAACATCTAGCCTCATATTAGAAGATAGGTGGGACACTAGGCACGAGGCTGCACTAGATTGTGACTCATGACTGAGTTAATTAAATCAAATAGTGAAATTCTTACATTAACTTGACCAAAACTGAAACCCAATGCTCCGGGATTCGAGTTTGTCCTACACTCAAATCCTCCTGGCAATTGGGGGCATTCCAATACCACATATAAATTTCTCATTCTTGGTTCTTTATATGTGGTATGGTTCATTTTATTTATTTGTTTTTTCTCTGCAATTTACCTGTTTCTATTAAGCCTTTTTCAGGTCTTACCTCCCTCTTTACACAGCAGATAATAGCTAAATTTAAAGGAGCAATGAATCTCTCAGGTGTACAGGTTTAATTTACGTTACAGCATTTTATTTTTAAAAGCATGTTATACTTGTCTTATTTCTACCTGTTACTGTCTTTCATGTATAGTCTGTTATACTGCTTCCCTAGCATGTTATGTTGTCTTTTTTCTTTACTATATAATGCACTTTTACTTTTTTTTTCACATTGCATGCCTGTTTAGTTACTCCGATACACTATGCCTTAGTTTAGGATAACCTAGTGGTTAGGAGCATGTTCAAAACTAAAACTATACCAGGAGGTGCTACTACGAGGAGTTTGGAGCAAACATCGTGGGCAGCGCGACGAGGAACAATTCTCAAGTGGATCTGCAGCAACAAAACATTTTCATAATCCTATCACTTTCCTTAGTTTAAATAACAACCCCTAGGATCATTTCTTTAGGCTTTTTGCACAACTCTGTTGTGTAATTATAAGCCCTAACGTTTTAGGATTCCGAGGTTACCGTTTGGTACGGTGTAAATCCTCCTGTCCTTTAGGTTATTTGCACAGTCTGACGTTGTGCAAACATAAGTCCTAAATCCTAAATAATTTACAGGATTGAAATATCAAATAAACATCGTTTCAAGGACATAAAGCCGAACAATAGGATAGTTGGGACATCTCTGGGGTTTCTCCTGGATCTGTGATGTCCCCTACTTTTCTTTCCTTTGGACTCCTTGAATAATTGTTCCTAATTTGAGCAATTCCCATTTGATTTTTTTCATGTCCAATCGTGAAAACCTAAACTTTGAAATCTTGAAAACAAAATCACCTGATCTTAATCGAGAGTTTTCTTAAGTGATTTTGATCATTTAAGATGTAATTAACTATAGGGGCTTGCCTCTATAGGAAACCAGGAACCCAGATAAAATAAACCCTATCTAATTTTTTATGTTAGATAGGGGAACTTGTTGGCCTTTTTATAAAAATATTTCGCAGATCAAACGGATGTCACAAATTGTTTAGTCTAGATGATTGAATCCCTACTACAAGTGATATATTCATTCTTCGGGATAAATGTATTGCTTGTAGTATTGTATTAAATAATCTAAACTATTTAAAATGTGAGACTCATTTGGTCTCACTTATTTTAAAAGAAAATTAAAATATTACTTCTTTCAAAAGGTTATATTTATATTTAAATTATTTTCAAAAACACAAAATCATCACATTTTCAAACTACGAAAGTTAAGTTGAACGATAAAACGGCCGACATATGTATGTAAATTTCCCTTAATTTTTTAACTCAAATCAAACATAATGTTCATTCAAATCATTTCTCATGACCAACAGAGAAGGTCTGGCACAATAACTTACATTTGGATTCCGTCGACATATTTCTGGAATAACCTCAACAAGTAGATCTGCACCCTTGCGATATTCCAATCTACTAATGACCACTATAACAATTTCATCATAGCTAAGCCGTTTAGCAGCTGGCGTAAACATCGCAGTATCAACCGCATTGGGTATTACAAAAACTTTTTCCGGCGCTACACCAGATCGTAAAACCGTGTTTTCCTTGCTTGTGTGAGAAACACATATAGCCTGATCTATATCCGCCAGAGTGAACTGAAGCACTTTATTCATGTGAATGCTTCCAATATCAGCAAATCCATATAAAGAATGATCAGTAAATACAGTTTTGTATCCCATTGTTCTGGCATGCATTACCGCTTCATGACAGAGCGTCGAAAAGGCCTGGTGCCCATGCACCACGGATATCTTCTCACGAATGATGATAGTCCTTATAATTGGAAGGGTTCCATAGAATGTCGGTAAGGTATTCTGCATGAAAAAAGGTCTCCAAGGTACATAATAAACTTTCAAACCACTAGTCATATATCTTACGCCGGAGCGATTTCCATAAGCATGTGTCATAACCACCACCTGGTTACAAAATCATTGAAGGCATTGATAAACAAAAAAGCACTTTCTACATTAGCCATTGAAAGAAAGTTTTCTGACCTTGTGGCCAAGCTTAATCAAGCATTGCGATAAATAATAAATATGACTTTCAACCCCGCCGAATTTTGGATAGAAAAAGTCAGAGACCATTAAAATCCTGTGTCGTTGAAGCTCATTCATTTTGTTCAGATATTAAGATACAGCCACTAATCATGCATGCCTGCAATTACAATTGAGAAAGATAAACAGATAACAGAGAATCAATAACCTTTAAGTAGAACATCACTCATAAAGTGAGAGCTAGGAAGAACATAACTGATATATCATATTTGAACATGATTGTGATGATAAGGAGGATTGACTATGACAAAAAAAAAATATTAGATTTAGGACATGGAATGTTAGAACTTTGAATAAAAAGATGAGTAATTGGGAAACGTAATGAATAGAAAAAACAAAAATTGTACATTGCAAAGATTAACAATAGAAATGGGGTTCAAATAAGATTGAGATTTGAAAAATAATATTGTAGAGCCGAATACTATTACTAATACGGTAATTGATATTAAGACAAATATAGTGAGGATGGTATAATGTGCAATGTAATTATGCTCCACGTTGGATTAGAAGATGATTTGAAATATTTATTTTATGAGGATCTACATTAAATATTAAAATGCACACATGAGAAAGAAAGAATATTTATTTGAGAACTTAAATGGACATATAGGTTTTGGGATGATAGGTTCTGAGAGAATTTTTGGTGGGCATTAAAACTTATCAATAGCAACTAAGAGAGATTGGATAGTATGGTAATTTAATGTGAATAGCATCCTTATACACGATAACCTAGCAGAGTGAGCATACACCGAGATCCCACCAAATTTTTTACTTATATGTAGAAAGAAAGCTACTTAAGCCAGAAAAGATATTATTTGGTTTGAGGTAATCTCCAAATGCATGGTTTGAAAGATTCACAAGGTAATGCTCGACATTGGAAACAAATAAAGTAAATGAAGCCATACATTATTTGTGAAAAACAGCTTCAAGGGGAGTCTCCACACTACTAGCTTATGTTGACAGCAAACAATTTTTGACTTGAAAGAAATAGATGATTTAAAGAAAAGATCGCTACAATAATTTAAAATTAAAAAAATAGAAATGTATAAGTATTTCATTGGCACTGAAGTAGCACACTCTCGGCGTAGAATCTTTAACTTGCAATAAAAATACAAAACAACCATGTTGAAAGAAACGAGCAAATTCAAGATGTAAACATATCGAGAACTCTATGAATTTAATCATAAAATAAAATATACTTGTAAAAGAAATCTCCTGCCAAATAATGGCGATAAAACATATCTACTAATCACATCTAGAACTGATATTGCTCACATCTAGAACTGATATTGCCCATGTTATTAGGGTAGTGATTCAATTTATATAAAGTCCTAAAGGATCACATCGTAAGACAATATATAGAATTCTACAATATTCGAAGGGAAACCTAAGAAAGAAAAATTCAATTCAAAAAAGGGATCGATAATTATTCTTGAAGCATAAACAAATGCATATTATGCAATTTATATGGTTGATAGGAGATCAAATTTAGAATATTGCACATTTTTAGGAAGCAGTCTTATAACTTGGATGAGTAAAAAAATAAATGTGATGAACAGATCTAGCACAAAGCTGAACTTAGATCTATATCAATGAGAATCAACGAAATACTACAGCTAAAAGTTATTCTAAATATTTAAAGCTCAAATGAAAAGGACCTGTAAGGCTCTACTGTGAGAATAAATTAGGCATCAAAATTACAAATAACCTTGTAACATGATCCTAATAGCATATTGAAGTTAACAAGCATTCTAGTAACGATAAGCATAACACTTCTCTAATCTTTACTCCGTTGAACAAGTTGCTAACATTCTCATTAAGGAATTATCAAGAGCAATTCTTTTGAATTTATTAAACAAGCTTGGAAGATATGACAGCCATTTATTTCCTTGAGGCAGAGCATGAAACGCTGGCATAATTTTCACCGACTGAGACCCATACTCACCAAAACTTCCGCTCTCTTTCATTCCTCTTATGCAACTATCTTATTAATCCATGAGACCCCTGTGTTCTACTTAGTAATTTGTGGATCATTATAACAATTATGTAATTATTATTCAGCCAGCTCAATAATTAATGGACAATTGTGACTATTAGTCCCTGATGTTGTATGTTTACTATTAAAAACCATTTTAAAACAGTATAAATACAGCACAAATATTGAAAAAAAAAAACTCAATGCAGTTCTTATAAAAGGAGATTTTCTTTATTTTATAAATGTGAGGACATGAAACAATTGAGCAAGAGCAATGAATTGTTGAGATATCAAGTTCAAAAGAGCTCGAATCTCTCCCTATACTCCATGATAGTCAATTCATGAGTCAATGAAAAGAATTGTTCGTGTACATTTCCTTTCTGAATGGCTCAGAAACATTCCAACAAGCAATCCTTAAATTCTTCCCACAAGCAGAGTGAGTGTCTAGCCCTCCTCCACTAAAACAATGCTCCCCGGAAAACATAACCCAACCGCCATGAGCTCTCCTCTTTATTTAACCATTCATCAAAAAATATCGCTCCACCCGGTACACCCAACCATGTGAGTGTTTCCCCTCGAAGATCGGCATCCTCAACTTCCTAACCCTAACATCTCCGGCCCAACTTCCTCTCCCTCGGCTATTTTCCTCAATGTATAGAAGGTAAAACTCCCTCCTTCAATCATAATCATACCTCATTTCGTCTTCTCTCCATTCTTCTGCGTTCCTTCATACTTCTTGCATAACCTCTTCTCCGTGTTTTGGCCCAACCACCTCCATCAGAAATCTCTAATCCACCTCCCCCCTGAGAGAATGTTCTTGATGGTAGATGTTTTTCTCCTCATATTTCTCTAGTCTAATCTCTTTTCCTTTTGATTTAGTCAATGAATATATGGTCAACACTTTGTTAGGGTTTGCAAACTAAGCTATCGATCATGTCTTGAATTGCATCTTGATAAGCCTCCTCGTCATCTCCAAGCGCTCGAATTGGTTTTCAATGGATGAAAAATTTTCGCCAATGGTTGTGAACTGTTCCTCTATTCTGGATTTAAGTTGGATCACCTCTTCATCCAATTTCTTCTTCAAATCATCTACTTTCTTTATAGTCAGCTCTCCCAGAATAATTTTCAATCTGTAAAGGCGGAACTCTTTTGCGTGAGATATGAGATTCATTGCTAGCTTCCAAACCTAGTTTCGGGTCTCTATACGCCTACACGATTTGGTCGTTGCTTCCTAGCTAGCTATGAAATAGTATTTAATCTCGTCTACGGGTTCCAAGTTCGCTTAAATCGCGTCACCGAACACCGTGTTGTGTTTCTTCACTAGCATCGAGGGCTCTGGATCTCGAAGGCTATCGCGACAATCATGACTCTAGTGCGATGTTTGGTTGCGCAAGGCGGCGTCAAATACCTATACGCAACAAACCAATTTTCACACCTTGTAAGTGATTTGATCCGCTACTTCCTAGTGGCTTGTAGACTTGTATGTCGCGATCCCGTCGATTTATCCTTTTGTTTCCTAGGGATCAATTGCTTTGATACCAATTTGTTAGCATTTTTTAGAGCAAACAAATAATTTATTTCTACAAAGCAAATAATTCAATCAAGAACATATAAAGCATATAAAAGGTAAACACATACAATTCGAGAAGTAATATCTCTCAATTCCTACAAATCGAGAGGTAAGAAATCTCTCACAAACCCTAACCCTAATGTTCAAAGACTCAATCTCATGCACAACATTAAGCCTAAATATATTATCCATATTTATACTAAACAATATTAATTGACAAAAAACTAAATTTTTCTTAGGCGCACAAAAGTTAAAATTGTCCTTAGGTTAGGCGCCGACCTAAACAGATTGCTATAAATAAGAACTGACCAATTCCATGCTCCATTACAAATGAGTGTGATTTACATAAGCTTGCCATTTTTTATCGAATATTCATTCATAGCTTCAGCATCAGAATGGTGCCAATCAAAAAATTGTCTAAATCTCAAAAATTTCATATGTACTGAGGATCAACAATGTTATCTTAAAACTATTAAATAAAAGTTAGCCTATGTAGCATCAACACTTCTAAAAATGTGTTGTAAACGTGTTGGACACGTATTGGACACTAAGATATGTCTGACATGCCCCAACACTTGTCTGACACTACAAAATGTGTCATAATTTTTTTCGGGTTGAAACATTGTTGACCTCAATTTTCGTGAGGTCTAGTTTTTCTCGTAGGAGTTAGGATCTAGCCTTAGGGGTCTTCCTGCGACTATCTTAGAACCTTAGAAGTGGTGCCCGCCTCGTTTTAGTTCGACCTGTTTCCGTCCTATTTTGGAGTTTCGCGTGTGTGGTATCGACTTCTAGCTCTTATAAGGATGAAACCGACACGAGGAAACCCAAAATGGATTCCTATAGGGCCTTTCCGAGCCTTAGGATGGCCTTCTGCACAATTCACACTCCTGCGCGCACCAGCTTCGCGATTCGGAAAGTCGACGCGTCCGATTGCTGCAATTCGCATCGCCTGCACCGTTATTTGCCGAGGGCTCGAGTAAACCACTTGTGACGATCGATCGCGGGACGAATTTTGTGAAATTTGAGTTTCGACGCGTTTTTTGACCCGACTGTCGACGACGTCGTCCGAGCGACCCCGGATGACGAAACGGACTGCGCCGGGACTGCGCCGGGACTGCGCCGGCACGTCCGGAACGTCGATTTTGCCCACGGAGGACACCCATATTGCCATATTTTCGACACGAGAAAATTGACACGCAAATCGATGAATTCATCAGAATGACCTCTGATGACGAAACGGACTGCGCCGGCGCGTCCGGAATGTCGATTTTGCCTAGGGAAGACATCCATTTTGTAGCGGCACCGCGCACGAATAAAACGCACGAATAAAATGCATGAAATATAATATATATATATATATATATATATATTAATGAAAAGCAACTCCTCTGTTTCCTTTTAAATCCCTAACTCACGCACCAGCCTCCTTCCTCTCGTTCGCGAACCGAGACCCTCCCGATCGCGAGCCCTAGCCGAGCCGGCCCGAGCCCCATTCCGCCCGATCGCGAGAGCCGAGCGGTCCCCCCTGCGTCGCGAAGCTCCGGCCGAGGTCCCC